GGTTAAAGTTGCATTAAAGCTTCTTCAACATATGATATGTTTAAATTTCTTTCTGTCCAACTGTGAATGCTGAAAGCTCTGCTGGTGTTTTCTTATCTTCCCTGAACTAACTTGACATGTACTTTTTTTTGTTTGGTCCCATCTGCTAACATGGAGCAGGCTTGGTTTATGTTCTACTCTATAGCCAGCCACCTGGGGGTGATGTTGACATTTTGGCTTCACATTTGAGGAGCAGTCCATCTTTACTTACGGTCCAGTAGAGTTACAAGTCGACAGCGGTGCAGACCGAGGCGTCAATGACAGAGGATTGTGGTGAGTGTGATGAATCTGAAACTCTTAACAAAAGAGTCTGACATTAACAAATAGTTGTAGTATCTGGTATCAGGCCTCGGAGGATATACTCCCTCCAATATAATATCTAGTATAGTCTGTAGTTTCTGTTTGTGTCAAGCTGGAAGCCTGCGTAGTTTAATAAAAACGGCCTGAGGGCACAGTGAAGTGATGATCCGTTTTCTAAATCTATTTCTCAATTATTTCATGCTTTGAAAATGAAAGAAGGAATCTGTGTAACACTGGAAACAAGACATTTACACATTTAAAATTGTGTGTGTGAGAGAGAGAGAGAGTGAGAGAGGGACAGAGAATATATGTTTGTATCATTGTCTCTCCTCCAGCAGTACTGATCGCAGCCAAGGCCTGTGCTCCGCGGCCAGCCTTCCAAGTTGCCATGGAAACGGGCCCACCGCTTAGGAGCCGTCGAGAAACCAAACACCCTCCGATCAATAAGCTTCTTGAATAATGGGGCCGTGGACACACAGACACACACATTTACACAAAACACAGACACATACAGTGCAGCTCGAGCTCCATTGATGAGCGGAGAGAGTCGGACAAATTCAGCCACTTATTCAGATGGAGAATAGAGTGCGGAGAAAGAGTGAGCATGAGTCTTTTGAAACCCACTGAGACACTTAACCGAGAGAGGAATCATGGCCGCCGGAAGGACCGCTGAAGAGGGAGATCTGGAGTGTCATTTGTGTAAAGAGACTTTGAAGTGCAGAGTACACACGGTGGACATTCATGATGTAAAGATTCATTTATTTTGACGTAAATAGGATTATGTGGCAGTAATATGAACGTGACAAACCAGCTTCAGTTCCTTTAAGCTCTTCAAAACATTGAACATTGAATTTGTAGGTATCAGCTCAGTAAGTAGGTAGAGAAACTGTAACCCCCTCATAAGAAATAATTCACTCTGCTCCATATTGTGTTGTATTATATAATGTTGTGCCCCACTCATCATCCTTCTTTCTTTTATTTAGTGGATGATGTTCTTTGGCGGATGGAGAGAATAATGCAGTGTATGAGATGACAAGCGTGTACATTGTGTGTTGTGGTGAAATCTGATATTCCTTTCTCTTTGTGTCGTCCCCAGAGCGAGCGTATGGATGCAGAACAAAGGGTCTGAAGAAATCAGATGACTCCTGCAGCTTTGACTCCTTCTGGGTTGCCTGCATCCGAGCGTGGACAATGTTAGGAGGAATATAAGGGGGAAACGCTGATATATTCACAGTCATTTAAAATTCAGCCACATTTAAATGGTTTCAAAGGATTGGTCCCAGATTTATGTACTTTTTGTCATGTGTTGTATCACTGACAACTGTAATCTTTAATATTTCTTATTACAAAGTCAATCAAAATACACAAAATGACCAAAGAAAGATCCAAAACAACAGCAAAAACACACAACATGACCATAAAGAGACATGGGACGACCACAAAACATGCAAAATGGCCACAAAGACACAGTAAAAATGATAAACTCACCTCAAAGAAACACAAATTGACCATAAAGGAAACAGTTTTCACCTCTCCACTGTTTCTACTTTAAAGTTTGCTGAATAGCGATGCACTGAAACTGCCCCTGTGCACGGCACCATTATACCGAGCTGCTTGTGAACATACGGTTTAACTGTTTGTTTGAGTAACTCTCATCTGACCTCTCTTTAGTCAACAAGCCTTTTCATCCCCCCCTCTTCATCCAGCCGACTGCATGACCTCTCTCCTTCTTTTACTATCCAGAGCGTGGAAAAGCTGGAGATGCCAGAACATCTGCCACAAGAAATTCTACTTCTTCCACATCGATTCTCATTTTCCTTGAGGTCTGTATATCAGCTGAGCCCTTTTAACCCCTGTCCTCCCGATTCATATATTCAAAGGATTCAAACAAGCAACGTACTGTTTATATAAGCCTTGTCTCATTGAATCCCTTGGCACCATATCACCGACTGCATTTTCTCACATATACAGTATATGGGACATGTTCCACAAATCAGCTCACAGGAACAACATGTTTATTTCAGTGTGGGAACTCTCTGCTGAGATTGCCTTCAAAATATTAGTAAACATGAACAACTTGATGAATCTTTTCCACGACGCAAATTCCGGTGGGAGATTTCCAAAAATAATACTGTCCTCCCCTGATGAGACTGAAATATTATTAGAGTGAATTCGGCTTCTTCTGTCAAAGTAACTCATCAGTTTTGAAGGATTAAATGTGTCTAATCACACCAGTAATGATGTTAGAAGAAATGTAAAAGCCTCATTTTAATAAACCAAGTTCCAAAATATTAATACTGATCCAAATAAAGGTTCACTGATTTTCATTCCCACAATTTCCTCTTGCGAATGTGTATCAGCTCTTATTACGTAATCACCATGAGATAGAATAGGCAGATGGAGAGTGTGAGCTTCAGAGGAAAGACTGGAGCTGCTCATTAATTGTTGGAGCATCGTGCTGTTGCCAGTGTTTTATCTCTGATGGGTCTGTTTTGGACCAAAGATAGTTTGGATCGGGTCTGAATATCCAGAACAAATCAGATCTAAACGTCCCTTAACAAAATGATGATCGGGTTTAAAAGTCTTTACGTGGGAAAACATTCTCTTCGTTTCAAATTCATGTTGTTACCTCAGCCTCGACCACAACGTCCAGTTTGAACACTTCCAAAGCACAAGTCACCTACGACATCGGAATGCATCTTGTGAGGGAACACCAGAGCTGCTGCTGCTGCTTCCCTGACAAACTGATTATGTTACTCCACTTCTGTGTCGACGCAGTCTCGGTTAATTTAGCGATGAAGCATTTTGCTAAAGAAAAAAAAATCACTTTGACAGCTATTCCAGTTTTCTACTGTCTCATTTACTGTGATAATATTCCATCAGATAATCTTGGATTTAACGCCCAGCAACCCTCTGGTCCAGAGCGTGATTGTGTCCCTCCAGGCTACAGCTGCCCTCATTTAGATCCAGCACAACACCTTGAGTTTGGCACCGCGTTTATCCGTCGCATCTTCAGACCACTTTAGCACTATATCGTTAATTATAACTTGTGCTGAGTGCAAATTTTATGGTTTTACAGTTGCCCGATGCCCCTTTTTTCCACTCAGTTTGCTTATTGCGACTGAGGGCCGCAGAGGAGAGACGAGGGGAGGAGGGAGAGAGCTGGGCTGAAAAAGCAGGGGATTGGAAGAGGGGGTGCCTGAGTGTAATGTAGCATGCTCTCTGAATCTAGATCACTGAACACACCAGTGTGTCTTTGGTTTTTTTCTTCTCGCAGACATGGGCACTGTGGTTACTCTGGCCTGTACCAGTTTTTGGCAGCGGTGTCGTTTGCAGTGCTAATGCTACAGCTAACGGTGCCACAGAGGTTGGGCTCTAGACTGAGACAGTCCTGTGAGTCGAGGTATGTTATGAAATAAGATAGGAGCAGCGACTAGATGAAGAAAAGATGAGAGATAGAATAGAGTAGACATCTGGTGAGATCCATTGGGAACAGGCTTTAAATCCTTCAGTGGGTGTGCAACACCAAATTGTCTTTTGTAATTGAACCATTGGTATTGTAGCTTAATTTGACAGCTGAAGAAAGTCTCTGTAATGAGGACGTTTTACAGCTTATGTCTTGTTTTGGTCCGGTTCATTTTCTGTCCAATTTACCCTCCGAGGAGTCAGAAATCCTGAAATCCTGCACATACAGTAGTGACTTCAAATCTTAAAACAGACAGGAGAGGGAAATGCTGATATGAAGCTTAGCCAAAGTTCAGGAAGTCTTTCTTCTTGTGCACGCCCACCAGTTCCTGTGATCCTGAAGCTCCACCTACTCATTCGCTCTTTACATCCAATCCCCAACCTGACACACTCGCCTTGAGCCAATCACCTCAAAGTTTGAAATGTTCTCTCTCATGCTGTCAGGCTGCAGTCAGCTCAGACTCCTATCCACCCAATTCATAGGACTGCTCCATGGTGTTTACTTATTTTCATTTGTCCCATGTTCCACACAGTTCCATTCAGTCTAAAATGAGGGTGTGTGACAGCCTGGTCGTTCCACACGTGAGCATCAACTCCATTCCAGAAAACGGTTGAACCTGCGTGATGTGCAGTTGACGTCTGCAGCATGGAGACAAATTTTGGCTTCACTCAGACGACTGCACAGGTGTGTGTGTGCAGCCTAGTGGACACGGGTGGATGACGACATTTACGTCACTAGATATATAGATAGAGATAGATTGTTTATTGTCACTGTGGATGAATACATAGCAGTAGTCTTCTTAGTGTCATATATATATATATATATACTTGTATCAAAAAGTGCTATATAAATAAAGTTATTTTAATCACTATTGTCTGTCCATTTAGAAATGTTGGTGTAATTTGCAGATGAAATTGGAATTCATGCCGATACATTTGAACTGACCAACATATTTAATTATTAAAAATTTCACTTTAATGCCCATCTCATGATATCACATTCATAATATTACCCACCCTGTGTGTGTGTGTGTGTGTGTGTGTGTGTGTGTGTGTATGCACGTGATAATGAGGCATCATCATGAGGATGAGGAGATGTAGAATGATGAAGAGCAGCAGCAGTTGTTCCTGGAGGATGTGGAACTCTGAGCATGGCTGGGAAATAACGCAGGGCGAGACAGGCGACTTGCTTTTAACACAAGGTCCCTACACAGAATCAAACACGCTCCGCTGGACCCCAGTACGCGTCTCCTTGTCCCCGCCCCCGCCGACAAGGCACAGCATCCATCCTCATGCTCACACACACACACACACACACACACATATACACACACGCTGCGTGATCCTCATCACAAACCCACAGCTTCTCTGAGCCCATGGAGTAGTAGTAGTGTGTTAGTAGTAGCGGGAGCGCTCACGTCTTCCCTTTCTATCCGCATTTCTCTTCAATGGATTCGCCTTTTCTCTGGATTATTGCCTCATCACACCGCGGTAAGTGTGTGTGTTGCCTGCAGATGGGGCGAGAGATAGAAGCAATGGGAGTGTGTGTGTGTGAGTCTGTGGCTATTGTCTGTTGCTCAAGCAAGTTCGGACCGTAATCAAGTCAAAGCGCCCGGGTCTCATTTGATTAAACGCGTCCAAGCGCGTAAAGATGCGCGTTTTTTGCGCATGGAGCCGATTTCATCCGCGGGGAACGTGTGGAGACTCGTGTTTTAATGGTTGTAGAAGAATCGATATCGGTATTTTAGACAGACACCTGTCTCTACTGGCAACAGTGACCGCCCTCGTGCGCGTCTTTACGCGCAAATATGATATTTCTAACTCGATGTGCGCCCCTGCTCTGCGCATTCATCTCCTAAATAACGAATATTCATGCGAATGTGTCGCCACCGTTGCCGAGCGAAGGAGCCTCCAGTTCAGCAAACAGTTTATACCCATCTCCCCGCCCCCCAACCTCTGAGGCTGGCTATTCCTCCGCCAGCAGACACCCCTCCTCCCCTTCCCCAGACATGCACCGAGCAGTGGATGGCCCTCAGATCACTGAAAGACTGAAATCCCATGCTTATTATGGGTCCTTGATGAGGGTAACCTTGAAATTAATTCAGTGCAGCGTGGCGTCCTCCTCCTCTGACTGCCTCTCCGATTATTGTACTCAGAAAACGGTGGTGTGCATGTGCAGCCTGGGCTTTAGCTTGAATATCAGAGCTGGATATTAACCCCATCTTCCTCTAGTGCCCCTCACAGCAGAAATAATATGAATTTTCTGATTCTTATCTATTAAAAATGAGGGTTACAGTGCCTCTTTTGATCCTAACCTCATTTTATATTATATATTTTACTATAAGCTTCAGTTTGTGTGCATGAAGCTGCAGATTTGGCCCAAAAATAATCATAATAAGATAAAAATCACAACAATGCACATCAGAAATACGTGATATTATTTTCACATATGCAGCACGGAGGCTTTGCAGATGATCACACTTGGTTACAGGGTCCTGAATCAAGCAGAAGTCAGTGTTGGCCTTTATTTCTTGGTGAAGAAGTGCTGAATAGCTGCTCTCTAATTAGTGCACAGTTTTTCCTGCCTACGCCCCAAGAAACAGGCAAATATTGCTGTTTTTACTTCCATTCTTCTTCTCTTGCTTGCGAACATGCTGTCGTTTGCATTCAATCCGCCTCCTGTCCTTCTGCTGAGTGCTGGAAATAAGACCATATCACCCTCCCAGAGGCAAATCCTTCTACTGACCATTTGTAGCCGGAACCTGTGAGCTTGTGCAGGTTGTGTTTTTGGGTTTGACAGTTGTATTCATGCTCGTCCCTGTGGAACACTGAAGCAGGCAAATGGTATTAGTTAGCAGACAGATGGCAGGTGGCTGGGCATCAGGTGAGCCTCTCCCTGGCTGACAGCAGGGTCAGCTGAACGCAGGACACCTCTTGGCACCCACCCACAATGCATTTCTACATAAAGGCACAAGTGTGGTGAGTCAGTCGTGAGTGTGCGCATGCAGACGACAAGTGAGACCTTGTGTGCACGACAGAGGGTTGTGTGTTAGTGTGTGTCTTCCCTTGAGCAGTCACGTCACTTTTGATCAATCAGATCAGAAGACGGACTGAGGTCACAATGACATCATCACTCCAGGCAGTGATACTCTACGGTGACGTTCACCTGTGACATCATCGGCAGCAGTAACAACGCTGATGTGGGACTCAGATTATCATCGTCACCATCATTTATTTTCTTATGTCAGCATCACATGTCGTCAGATTTATCATTAGTCTGATGATCATGTGTCAGTTTTGAAATCGTAGTTGAACACTTTGTAGAGAAGTCATTCACAGATTCATATCGTTAACTTTATCATTGTTCATGGCAGAGGGAGGCGACTCAAGCCTGGATTAAAAAAGAAGATGTTTTGAAAAGGAAAACAGTAGAAGGCACAGAAGAGAAGTTAAAGAAAGAAAAAACTGAAGATAAATTAAAAATACTGTAAAATAATGACGGCCATTAACAGAACCATAAGGCTGACTGGCTTTGAATAAGATATGGATTTGTTCTGGTCATTAAAAAGCATAATTTAGTTGAACATTCTGTATTTTTGATATTTGTACTTCTGTGTGATTACGTGCTGCAGACCTACAAGCCTAGTTTTATAATAAATTGAAATTTCATGGCAAAGAATATGCCTGTGTCACAGTTAAGTCTGCAAGTGAAGAACGACTGGAGGGTTTGTCGCAGCCGACCGGGGCGTCCCGTGAGATTTGTCGAAAATGAAATTCAGCTCTAGTGTCTGACTACTTCTTCACGTAGCAATTGATGAAAACACACCTGTGAAATTCCTCATGCCTCTTGAACAGCAGTGAGTAAGTGCTCAGGGAAATTGGACACACAAATGCGTATTAGGAAACTGCTGCCTTTTGTTGCTGCAAACACACAAAGCTGTTAAAGTACACTTAACACATGGGGAGGGGGGGGGCATACTAGCTGCAAGGTGCTGCTCTGAAATGTGTAACAAACGACAATAATGAAAGAGGAAACACCAGCGGCTGCGTTATGTTGTGGAAATAAAAACATCAGACAGATTTATAGTAGTAGTAAGGACGCAGGAAGCAATGACCCCTGAACTCTAACGCCTCTTCTACTCCCACACACACACACACACACACACACACACACACACACACACGCTTTCATTGTTCTATTGCAGGTATTTGATTACCACTGGATGTGGCAGGGGTGTTATTAGTGCAGTGCGGGGCGTCCTGATTGGGCTGTAGATCTGTCACCGTGACGTCTCCGGGGAATGATTGGGCCTAAGGTGAGATAAGGCCTGCCTCCGGAAATTGAGTGGCCCCTCTTTTTATCAGCAGGAACGACCGATGCATATACGGGTGATAAGGTGCGAGAGGAAGAGCGATAACACCAGCAGCAACTTCATGAATATTTTCGTCAGGGTTTTCCAGAGGCGACATAAGAGAGCGGTGTGAAATGTGGCTGAACATCCACACATGTACAAGGAGGCTTGATTAATGTTGTTGTGTGTTGTTGGCTCTAATGGGTGTGTTTATAGCGTGCCAGAATGTGGCGTGAGCTTCTCAGTGCAGACTTGTGTATATAATTAGTCAGGATGTGAATAGGAGCTAATTGGGGAATAATTCAAGTTGCAGCCAAATATGCCTGCTGGCTGTTGTGTGTGTGTTTTAAATATACATGTTAATTGACCATATTTCAGACCGCTGAACTTATTTAAAAATGTTTACCATGGGACCCCCGGTCCATTTCTGTGTTGGTTTGTTTGTTTGTAAGAATACGCAAAAATATCCGACTGGAAATCTCGATGAAAGGGGTGGAGCCAGGATTTAGTTTTTTTCGTTTTTTGAGATTGGGTTGTATTTTTCATTTTCGTTTCTCAGAGAATAATTCATGAATCCTGAAGGAGAAAAAAGAGGCACGTTTAGAGAACTGATATCTGAGTGAGTGAAATTTGTGCAGCTTGAATTTAAGAAGCCACTGTGCTCTGCTGACTGACTCTAGTTATAGTGACTCACTCAAGGTCTTACAATTGGTGGAATTCTTTATGTTGGTGGTTTTTGTGGTTATTGAATGGTTTGATGGTCACGCAGCCACAGCTCCTCGAAAATGTGTCGCTAACCTGCAAATGTGTTCTGCAGGTATTCGTTATTAGTGCTGGTAGAAGTTCTAGCGCTCACCTCAACAGTCCGGTCTGTATTTAGGTTTTGGCAGCAAAAGTTCTTCGAACAAATTACTTAAAATGATTGTTCTCACTCATATTAAACTTTCTGGAACGTATTCAAACAATTTCAGTGACGATGAGGTCGATGCGTACCCACAGAAGTACGATGTAGTAATATGGAATCTTCAGCTGGGCATGGAGGACGGTACTGTGGTGGTTCTGATGGTTTTTTTACTGGACTGAAAAACAGCTGAACACTCACAGACCAAGAGCTCGTTTGATCTAAATATAGACGGAGATGTTGTGAGGCAGCGTGAGACAAACTCGCACAGCATCACTCAGCATTCAGCACACAAAACTAAAACACACAGAGAGAGAGAGACAGAGAGAGAGAAGCCTGTGAGCGGCCTGTGAAAATGCATTTTCTCAACTTCTCAATTTTACATATGCAAATTGACCTAAAAGCATTTGAAGATGTCTGCTAATGAAATTAATTTGGAAAGAACACAACAACCATGATTATTTCAGTTCTTATATTCAAGCAGAAGCGTTTGATTTCAAATAGAATGAATTTCAAGAGGAGGTCATTGTTTTATAATCTCATTTAAGCCACATGAACAATCAATAAGTCAATAAAAGTAAATTGAAAGGAGAAGGAATCCCAGACCAGAAGAGCTCTGACATCATGAAGAAGTTTATTTACCATCAGCCCACATTCAAAGGGAGAATTTATCGTGGTGACACAGCAGCTGATAATAAAACGCGGTGTTCTCGTTTGGTTGGTGGAATGAGCAGAAAGAGACATGACACTGCGGAAGAAACGATCACGACTCCGGCAAAGAGCTAAAAAGAGCTTCAGAAAAAAACACCACTGCTCTTTATCTGGGAAAAAGACACACGGGTGAAACTCAGGCCGGCAGACGAGACAAACCCTTGATATTTGGAAACACAGACATGTTTTAGAAGAACTCTGAGACCGTGCGTGTTGCTCTTACCAGCATCTGAACAAGTGAGCTTCATATTTCTTTCTCTTTCATGAGAAATGAAAGGCCTGATCATGTTTTACCTTTAACTTTGTTCTGGGTCTGATCTCAACTATCCTTGTCTTTGCATTTGACATTTATGTGTCCTCTGCTGTTTATTGTCGCCGGGCGTCGTGTAGATTTTCCAGTAAAGCTGAAGGATAAATATCATATCTTGATAGAGGTCATTTCAAATCCACATTGTTCCTTCTTGTTCGTACTTTTTCCTAGCCATGTTTTTGTAGATGTAAGTTCAGTCATTATTTTTCTAACATCT